AGATCGTGTGAGGAGGAGATGAAACAGTATGGAATAACATGGACGCAAGTGAAAAGAACAGCAGAAGACAGAAGCAAGTGGAGACGTGCAGTTGAAGCCCTATGTTCCACTAGGAACCCAAGGGAACAATAATAATAAATAATAATAATTCAACAAGAATACAGGCATAAATTGGACCAGTAAAAAGATGTGGACATCACAGGTGATTTATATCTAATGTCACACAAACTAAAAGATCTAAAGGTTAAAATCAATAAGTCGTCATAAAAGGCAACGAAGACAGAACTTCACGTGAACGAATGGAAGACAAAGGTGATGAAGGTAAAAGTCCGACCAACCCCAACAACAACAAGAAACACCAATCACCAATCATCAGGAGGAATTTGAAAGAAGTAACCTGTTCCACTTATTGAGGCAGCATCATTACAACTAGAGGCAGCAGGCTTGATTAGAAAAGCAGGACAAACTTTCATTACTGTAGAATCGGTATGGAACAAGATTTAGGCCTACAATAATAATATCAAGTCAGTGCTTTTATGTGCTTCAGAGCCATGGTAATAGCGTCACCTAAAGTATTTCCAGTAACCTACTGCAGATTTTTATCAACGGCTGCCTTCGCTCCATATTGAAGTTAAGATGGCAAGCCTGAAAAGAATAGCAACAAGGAACTGTTGCAGGTGACAAATCAACCAAGAACCTGTGACCCAACAGATATGCAGGAGGAAATGGAGACTGATTAGACACATGTTCAGGAGATCATTGGATGAAATCACGTGGCACACCTTCTAGTGGAGACTGAATCGGAAACGACGAGTGAAACGACAGGGTGAAATAGAGGTATGCTGCTTAAGCCCTACGTTTCACTCGTAGCCCAAGGGAATAATAGCAATAATCAATATTGTTAGTTTCTAAAGTCGACTAATACGTATTCTCATAAATTCACTTTATTTTGTGTACCACCTGACTATATACATACACTTTGAGTTTCTAATAAAACTCGAATAATTCTACTGAAAATATTTCTGTCGCATACAAAGCAAAATGTTGAGAAACCGTTATTTTTTATTTCCACAAGAAGGTCTAACTATTATAGATAATTTAATCATGAAATATTACACAAAATAATTGAGCCAGCAAAGAATATCCTTTTCGATAATTCCCTCTTCTCGCTCTACACTTATATACGCATGTTTATATTTTGATGTGGTTGTGTTTTCTGAGCTGGATAGTTAATTATTCTTTCTCCATGAGTGCCTTCGTCATCAAATCCTACCGACCAGTGTAAGATACAAACCACCAGTCAACTTCCCAATGGGATGGAAATTGACCGAACAATGTGGAAGACGAATGGTCAAGTTAATGATTACAGACGCACATTATCGGATCAACAAATACCAACAAATAATAAATCTCCAAAAAGAAAAACTAGAGAAAACCCTCAACCAGGAACACCTGTCAACGCTGATCACCACAATTACATTGTCTAGTAGAAAACACAGAGAACAAAGACGACGCAAATTAACTATCCAGCTCAGAGAACACAACCACATCAAAATCATCCACCTGAACTACAAATCTTCTCCAGCATGTTTATATACACAGAATATTCGAGATTAGTAGCCAATAAGAATATTAGTGTTTTTAAATAATATCGATTTGTAAAGTAAGATCAATGAAATTACAGTTCATTAAAGATGCCTAATTGTACGGCCTATGTCATCGAATTTCCGAACATCACCCTGCATTGTAGTTAAGTAAAGGACAAATAGAATCTATTCGTAGCGCTATTCTATCTCATCTTGAGGATACAGAACACAAGATTGATGTTAACGAGGCGGCTTTCAAAGTCATTTACCGCATACCAACAAATCTTAATTTCGCCTTAAGAGTTCATTTACTAAATATTGCTGAGGCTGTTGGGATCCATATTAAGAAGCCTAATTTGTGCGTCCAAAAGAAGTTAGTTCAGACATTATCATTACCTTGGCCACCTAGGTTTGAATGATCCTGAATTTTTGTGAAATTTTCCTAATTTTAGTTGATATTCTATTTGCTACTATATCTTTATTATTATTATTTAAGCATCTTTAATGAACTGTAATTCCATTGATCTTAATTAACAGATCGATATTATTTAACAAACACTAATATTGCTATTGACTACTAATCTAGAATATTCTTTGTATATAAACATGCATATATAATTGTAGAGTCAAAGGAGGAAATTGTCAAGAAGTATATTCTTTGCTCAATTACTTTGTGTTTTATAGATGTCTGAATGAATATCTTCACTACAATGAAATATTAAGCAGACGTAATTTATCTATTTGTAATATATTTCTATATATACATTTTCGAGAAGTGTTTCAGTATGTATGTGGGATCGCAGGGTTCGAAGTGTGTTTTAGCCCCAATGCATCATAACACGAATCATAATAATTCTGCCTTCTCAGTGTTTTTTACGAAATTCATAAAAGACAGTAAAATGTGTTATAATTCAATTAGCTTCAATTAGCTCCATGATATTCGTAATTCCTAAGTTGTGAATATTTATAAGTATAGTGGCTAAATAGTTATTTGTTGAAGTTATTTTCTATTTCCCGCGGACTAATTTTTATTCGATCTGTATTGGCATGTCTGCTCCTGGCGCAGACGCTTCCATGATGTCTGAAATTTAACATGGTGTTACTAGGTAGATGGTAGTTCACAGTGGAAACTGAAGAGTACGTTTCGTCCTGTTTTTGATCAATCAATTGAACGCGCTTGGATTCCTAGTGAGCGACGAACTTCACATTTTCATTGGGGTCCAGCATCCATCACTTAAAAAGTCAAAGCCTTATCCACTGGGCGACAGTGGGCAACGATATTCATTGCAAGAGAGATGACTGTGGTTGTTCAGCAGCTCAGTGGATAACTCTCTGGTGCTTTAATCGATGGGTCGTTGGATCCAGTCATAATAGGAACTCCATTGTTCACTGGAGATACAGGCACATCTATTTGATGAGTCCTGCATACGACGAAACACTGGTCATGGATCTCATTCCTAGCTGATATCAGCTATATAATCAAGAAGTAGCTTGAACGATTTAAACATTGGCCTTTAATAGAAAGCACTTAAATTTGGATGGCATTGAAAACACCGACTCTTAAAATGAGAATAAATTTACATAATGGACCATTTATTAAAAAACGTCATGCTCAGAAATACTAAATTCGTATTGTAATAATCACACTTATACAAAGCTGTTGTTTATAACAACTGTAGCATGAATAAAAAGACATAATCCATGTCTAAAAATTGATTTTAACATCTTAGCAATCTGGCACATTATTATAATATTATAATTATTGTTCCCTTTATCTCCTAGAGAAACAGGGCTTCAGCCGCACGTCTCCATTGCATTCGGTTCTCTACCGACGTTTTCACCTGGCTCAACGTTTACCCATGTGCTTTCATCTCCTCTTCACATGAGCTCCTCCACAACACCTTCGAATGACCAAGTCGCCGCTTCCCATTCGGTTTCCGCTCGGGCAATAGCCTGTCGTGTGATGTCACTTGATGGTTAAACAGTCTTAAACAGTCACAAAACGCCAAACAGTTAGTTATAGGTATTATCAGTCAGCAGGATTATATCCACAGTGTCAATGTTCGAAAGTAAACTAATTACAATATATTCCACAGCTTCCCGGTCAGAAAAACCAGAGAAATAAGAGATTTTTGTAACTAAACAAACGTAGCGTACTAACCGAAAAGCAATCCGGCAAAGAGTGAAAATAATTTTGAATTGCTTTAAGCTAAGTGTCTGTTAAGTTCTGTTAAACAAAGCCAAGAGACTTGGTAACGGACTCTTTTATTAAGGAAAAACACATCTTATTTATGCCTTCTTAGCCACATTAAAGTTCAGTTAAGTCAGAGGAGAATAAATTGTTCTGATTGGCCGGCGATCAACCCAAGGTCGAACAAGTTATCCAATGGAACTATTTCATGGCCACAACGTGAATTGAATTCAAATATTAGGAATAAACACTTCTACCCTTTAACAGTAACCATTGTCTTAAAAATGGTGATTTCAATTTTGGCCACTTCCTACAAGTCTGCATCACGCCACAATAGTACCGTGTAGTTTGTTATTGTCTGGTTAAGTGAAGCAGTTCTTGCTAATCCTTTGTCACTACAAAACCTCATTTGAAATTTTGACAAAATGCACTTATTGGTATTATATGATTGGAGGCGATCGGCAGGAAGCCTTGGACCTAGGTTTCGGGTTATTTGGCACTCATCAGCAAGGCGTATCTGCAACCTCGAAGGAACTCATGTCCCTTCTGAGATTCGAACCCAGTGCTGAAGTCAGAGACGTTACCAATGAGCTACTCAGGCTCGCAATTGACCTCCTGTAGGACTGTATTGGATATTTTTCATTGGCCACTAGTTAGTAACTAGTGTAAATGACCCGCAGCACTGGGTGACGCGGGTTCGAATCTCAGAAGGGACATGAGTCCTTCGAGGTTGCAGATACGCCTTGCTAATGAATGCAAACTGGCACGAAACTTAGGTCCAAGGCTTCCTGCCAATTGCCTCCAATCATATAATTCCAACAGTTTACAGTGTACCGTGATGGCGAGCTACCTATCATGGTGGCCACATTGCAAGCTTGACTAATAGAATTCAGTCTGCACCGAATATAGGACTAGACACATTACACTAGTTACTGACTAGTGTCCAATCAGAAATGCACTTATTGCTATGTATTTTCCTTCTCTATTAAAAAAGAAACATTTATTAGCTGAGATTACATATTGATCAATTATCTTTCTATTAATCCTTGAACATTGAACATCACGCTGTTGCTACTCATTTAAATTAAACTATCGCTTTTTCTGCTTTTTTGACTTCATTACCTATAAAGTTTTGTTTAATTAACATTTATTTCATCTTTTTCATATCACATAACAATGTATTGCTTCTATTTATTATTGTTAAACTCTCTTTGTATTTCTAGAGAACAAAATAAAGAATATGAAAAATTGTTAAATTCAATGTGGTTAATCGCTGTTACATTTTTAAGTATCGGTTATGGTGATATGGTGCCGAATACAAATTGTGGTCGAGCAATATCTGTATTAGCTGGTGTCATGGTAAGTCTATAGTGTCTGTTTAATTGAAGCTGTAATCATACTTGGAGTAGTTATGTGGTGAGAGCTGTCTGTTAGCCAAAATTGGTAGACAGCAATTGACATCAGTGTTTACGTCCCAAATATTGGTCATGAGGAAAAACAAGAAAAATGACTAACCTTGAGGAGCCAAACAACCAATCACTGCAGACTTAGCGTGGGTGGATACGATAAGCAGAGATATATCAATGGACTGTCTAAGAAACGGCCACAAAGAGATGACAGAATAACCTTCAACAGGAAAACAACCAATCAGAAGACGTTGCTTCTCTGCTAACAATAACGAATAATAATTTTTACACAAAAATCTATAAATATCTTTTGATTTTCTCAATAAACGACCTGTTGCCTGGCCCCTGTCTTGCCTTGTTGCAGTTACAATAGTGACGTCCAGAGTAATAACACAGTATTTATGGAACTAGTAAGGCATCATATTTGCTCAGAGATTAAAAATTGTCATGTGTCGATTAATTTCAGAATAGATTTTATCATCTACCAACAACAGTTTGTAATGCAACCAAATCGTTTCATAACCTGATTGTCATAAATTCGATTTCAGATGAGTTCATTGACGCAAACTTCTGAAGCGTCACAAACTAGAACGAAAGAAGTATCCAGTAGTCTCTAGTTTCCAATAACTGGTGACGAAATCTACCTTGAATGAAGAGAATTTCAGTATTCTACCAATAAATCATTCAATTTGTCCTTAGTGCTTTGAAATTTAGCATCAGTATTGTTGTAAATCATGAATGCCTGGCAGTTTTAACAGTCATATCAACAAAATCATTGAACAAAATAAAAATTAAAAAGATCTCAGTGTATTGGTTTTGTAGGGATTTTGTTTGATTGGATAGAGGATTTCATCATGAACTGACATGAGTTAGAGAACCGCTGGAAAACCTGGGAGTACTTGACAGCTGTTTCCTTCTAGTTTGAGACTCTTTGGCAGTACGCACCCACCGTCAGGGTTCCAACCCAGGACCTTCTGGTTACAAGGCGATCTCGTAGACCATTGAGCTACTGGGACCCGATCCAGTGGCCAGCCCATGAATTCTAACTTCTGCCAATTCGATGAGTTACTGCCTCATTGTCAACCTGTTATACCCTACTGGTCACGGCTTTCCCCTAGTAGCTCAATGGTCTACGAGATCGCCTTGTAACCAGAAGGTCCTGGGTTGGAACCCTGATGGTGGGTGCGTACTGCCGGGTAGTCTCAAACTAGAACGAAGCAGCTGTCCAGTATTCCATGCTGGTTTTCCAATGGTTCTCTAACTGATGTCAGCTCATGATGAAATCCTCCATCCAGATGTTAGTGTGTAAGAAGATAAACTTTAGTTAAAAGTTAACAACTCCTGATGTGATCTGCTTATAAATGTTGCATTTCTTTATAAACCTCAAGACAACGAAGCTGCTTAGTGCAGAAAAGAAGAAAAACTCACTTTAAACATGAAGGCTGAGGCTTCCGGACAGTATATCTCCTCTGAAAGGAAAAATCTGACCAACGGTAACTCTTTCTAAGTATCTATCGCATATTAACAATATTGTCCGCTGATTGTCAACTTCAGGCAAAATAGGGTTGCAAATCTAGCTTCACAGTGATTGAATCAACTAGTTATCAAGTTTCATTGGTGTGAGGCGAGGTCTAGGTGTGCGTTGTTAGTGAATCTACCCTAGACCATGTAAGTGACCGGTGAGCATTCGACCACGGAAATACCGACACACTTTACACATAGAATTGTGGTGAGAGCTGTCTGCTAGCCAAAATTGGTAGACAGCAATTTACGTCAATGTTTACGTCCCAAATATTGGTCATGAGAAAAACAAGAACAAAGACTCTGCGTGGGCGGATACGATTCGCAGATATGTGGTCTAACCTTCAAAGAAACGGACACAAAGAGATAACAGAATAACCTTCAGTGAGAAAACAACCAATCAGTGGACGTTGTTTCTCTGTTAATAATAACGAATAATATTGTGCATAAAAATCTATAAATATCTGTTGATTTTCTCAATAAACGATGTGTTACCTGGCCCTTGTCTTCTGTCGTTACAGAATAAGTGTGCCTCACAGCCTGACTCATGAAATATCAGACTCAAGGTAACACCGTTCAGACAACAACTTCACTCTCCGATTATAATTTATAATTCCACGAGGTTTAAATTTTATCATTATCTCATATTTATACAATTTAAAGACGTTTAATTGAATCTAATTTTGTAGGGCATTTCTTCATGACTAGTTCTAATAAAGGTGTGTGTATATATCTGTATACATTTCTTTTCTGATTGTTTAATTCAAGGGTTCCGCGTGTACAGCTCTTGTTGTCGCTGTTGTAGCGCGTAAATTAGAATTGACAAGAGCTGAGAAACATGTACACAATTTTATGCAAGATAATAAATTTTATAAAAATGTAAGTAGAATTTGTATTTTTTGTTTGTTTTTTTTGTACAGTTATTTTATATTCATTTGTTTAAATGAATCAAACTGAAGGTTACTCATAGGTATGTAGTCAGCAGAGCTAGAGAATCTTCGTTAATATTTGTGATATTACTTCATCAGGTTTGTGAAAAATCGATTTACCATATAAAATGTCTTGAAATTCTTCTTGTGACTTTGCTACTGACGATTGTTTCTTAAGGATTTTATATTAATCTGCTTCCTGTATTCAGGGGAATGATTCCACTATTTCTGTGCATTGTGATGATGGCAGTTCTCTTTCTCAAATGATTAAGATGATGAAGGTATGTAGGTATGTGGCATACTCGCTGTATTTAAAACTCAAGATATAAACAAGTTTTTCAAGGATTATCAACTCAGAGGTAGATGTAAGCTGAGTTATACTTATGAGGTAGAAAGTGTTACGAAGAAGAGCTCCCATTGTTAGATGGTATCATAAAAAAGAGACAAAATGGCAAGTTAAACAACAGTATTTACAAAAATCCGACACATTTAAACCAATATTTAGATTTCAGTTCATCCTAGAATGTGTTAGTAAAAGCAAGATTAGTGAAATGTTTAAGTAATAGGGTAAAAAGTGAAATAGTACGAAAACAAAAATCTAAGGCAGGATTTAGAACACATAAGAGAAACTTTGACCCTTAAGAATTAACCCCTGGTAAATTAATTAGGTTGTATTTAGAAAATTATGAGAACAAAAATAATTATAATAATAAGGTTGATATGAATGACAAACGCTCAGAGGGAGATGATAACACGAACAACAGGGAGTATAAAACATCAGTAGTACTGCCATACATGAAATTCTTAACGAGTGGTATTTAGACCCAGAAACTCTGGTTAAAAGGTCATGTGGAGCATATTTAACAAAATAATTTGCTTTACCTAATACGTTACCACGTGTCAGGTGATCCACAACGGAAAACTCAGCAAGGTGTTCGAAGTGAATACAGGAGTAAGACAAGGCTGACTGCCTATTATCACCGATGATATTCTTAATTGTGGTGGACTGGATAATGCGTCCGACTGTGCGTTGGGAATGAGGAGACAGGAATACTTTGGACCACTGATAAGAAGACTCTAGAAGATCTGGATTTCTCGGATGATTTATGTCATATGTCACATAAAATCGAAGACTTACAGCTGAAAACCAACAAGTTGTCAGAAGAATCAGGCAGCGAAGACTTCAAGTGAACACGGAGAAGACGGAGGTGGTGAAGATAATCAACCAACAAACCAGCAGCAACAACAACCACCACCAATCCCCATCAACAGGAGAAATTTGAAACAGGTTACTTCCTTCACTTATCTAGGAAGCACGATTTCAACCACAGGCAATCGGAACGGATGATGATGTCAAAGCCAGCCAGAATCGGAAAGGCAAGATATGCCTTCATCAACGAGCAATCGCTTTCAAAATCTTCTTCACTGACTCGCCATAAAGAACAAGATTCGGATTTTCAACGCAAATGTGAAGTCAGTCAGTCCTTCTATATGGGTCAGAAGCTTGGCGTGTCACGAAAAGGATATCCAACAAGTTGCAAACTTTTATCAACAGCTGCTTTCGCCAACTCCATACTGAAGATCAAATGGCCAGAAATAATAAGTAACAAGAAACTGTGAGAACAAACCAAACAAGAGCCGATTGCTCAACAAATATTTAGGAGTAAATGGAAGTGGATCGGACATACGTTGAGGAGGCCATCGAATGACATCGTGCGCAATGTAGGCTATCGCTGGAGTGGAATGCCAATGGGAAGCGACGAGTGGGTCGTCGGTGCAAGGATGAAACGGAGGAGATCGTGGAGATGAGAGATTATGTGCAATCGTGGACCCAGCTAAAGAGGAAAGCAGAGAATAGAAGAGAGTGGAGATTTTTGTTGAAGCCCTATGTTCCACTCAGAACCCAAGGGAATAATAATAATACATCACAATGGTTGTCAGGTCGAATACATCGGTCAAAGTAGTAGGTTGGGTTAACTGGATTAACCGGCTGCATAAACCTATCAAAATCTTTGCTAGCAGATAAAAAATTCACTAAAAAAAGCCCAAGTACAGCATAACATGCATTTACACAGAGCCATACATGGTGACAGTCTCAAAATCCAATATAACAGGGTGGAGAGAGAGTGACCAATAACTAAAGCTTTGTTTATCAAATCAACTGAGATAACGTGCAAAACAAAAGATTTCATACCTGTCTCAGAAATCTGCGAAATTCTACTATCCCTACAACAAATGGGAAAGAAGCAAGAGAACTTTAAATGTGAAGTTTCAAAGTTGTATTTTTACAATTGACAGTATGATTATGAACAAAAATAAATTGTTTTCGAAACTTTACCATTTAGTAAATAATACTGTCGCACTGATGGATATATCCAATAAACAAATTAATATAGAATTTCCCATATGATGATAATATTAGAAATTCTGGGCATTAGTAGAGATTCAGTGAAATGATCTGGTAGTATTTTGAGAATATAAACGATAAGCTGTTTGGTAGTTATTACCACTGGGATGATCCTATTTAAATATGCCTTCATCTTGATGAGGGTAAGTATTCTGTTTGAGACTTGAATTAGAAGACATTATCTCAACTGCGGTGCCGCCAGCAATTATACACTTCATCCGACAGTTGTACGACAATGCTGCGTGCCAAGTAATCCACAATGGGAAACTCACGGAATCCTTCAAATTGAAGACGGGAGTAAGACAAGCTGGCTGCCTACTATCTCCAATGATTTTCCTGATTGCGGGCGGTAGACTAGATAATGCGACAGAGAGCGGGCAGTGAGGAAACAGGCATAAAATGGACCCACACAAAAAACTTGTAGGATCTGAATTTCGCCGATGATATATGTCTGATTTCCCACAAACTGGAAGATAGGCAAGTGAAAAACAACAAGTTGGCAGAAGAAGCATCAAAGATAAGAATGACTTCAAGTGAACATAGAGAAAACAGATGTGGTGATGGAGATTCCTGGCCAACAGCCACAGCACCAACAAGAGACAACAATCTGGATAAATAGAAGAAATTTGAAAGAAGAAACCTCCTTTACCTATTAACTACCTGGGAAGCATCGTTTCAACTACAGGCGGACGGAACCGATGAGGATATCAAAGCGAGGATCGGGAAAGCAAGGCAAGCTTTCATTTCTCTCAAGTCTGTGTGGAGATCAGCAGCACTCAGCAGGAAATATAACATCCGGATTTTCAACTCCAATGTGAGGTCAGTCAGTGCTACTATACGGATCAGAGAATTGGCCAGTGCGTCACGAAGGACACTTCGAACAAACTACAGACCTTCATCAACAGCTGTCTTCGCTCAATACCAATGAAGATCAGATGGCCGGTCAGAAAAGACCAGCAACAGGGATCTCTGGGAGCGAACCAACCAGGAACCGATTTTGAAACAAATCAGCAGGAAGAAATGGAGGTGGGTTGGCCATACTCTGAGAAAACAAACCATCAAGTGACATCACAAGACAGGCTCTCAAGTGGAAACCGAATGGGAAGCGGCGAGTTGGTCGTCAGTGAAAGGAGGTCATGCAAAGAGGAGATGAAAGCATGTGAGCAGACGTGGAGCCAGGTGGAAACGTTGGCAGAGAACCGAACGCAGTGGAGACGTGCGGCTGAACTAAAAGAAACAATAATAATATTTCAACTGCTAAAGCTTTACTATTCTGGGAGATGGTATAAATAGCAAAGTAAAGCCTATTTTATGAGAGACAGATTTTATAGTTCAGCGGCCCACTGTAGACTTAAACCAAGATCCATCTAAAGAGGCTCAAGTGGAACAAACAGCTCGCACAGTATTCCATCAGTATTCAATAAATGGAAAAGTAAGTCAACTGGTGGATGGTGACTCGCTGTGGATGGAAACTAGGATACATATTTCGTCCCATTTGGGACTCGTCACCTGGATGTACCTGAATTCCCCAGTGAGTGGTGGTGTTCCCGCTGAGGCTCGAACCCAGTACCTATCATCTCAAACGCCAAAGTGTTATCCACAAGACTATCTGAGCCACGAGAGCCACAACTTGTGCAACGAGCCTCATTAATTAATAAGACCAATTTACTTCAAGTTACGTGACCAGATGTTGTCGAAGCACCTCCACAAGGAGCTGACTTGTCAACCTGAGACCGAGCACTTTAGTCCAATTAATCGACGGGAAAATCTAAAATTAATTATATCCAAAAGACAAATAACATTAAAATACAACCGAAGCCAATTGTGAGGCACCCATACAGATAAGAAAAGTAATTCATAACAATAACAAAGTAAGCCCAAAGTAAAATATTCATATAAATGTCAGTTTTTAACTTGGTTAATTACTCAATGCGGAAAGCTGAACATAAAATAACAACGAACATTCAACTCTGTACACAGTGTCTGGCGTATTAGTGCTCCTGTTACGCCGATTAGCGAACAGACTTTAAGTCTTTAGCATGAAACCAAACGTATTACAAATTGTCCACTAGTGATCTATACAATTCATTACATTCCCTTTGCATTTCAAGTTGAACATAAGGCCCAAAGCTTTTGAATTTTCTGTAGTAATGGTGAGTGAGGCTACTAGCCTTACGCCCAACCTTCTCTCTTTCTTGAGCTTACTGTCAACCGGCGAGCCAGCTGAGGTTTAGGAGTGTTTCAGCTAAGAATGGATTCTGGACCACTTTCTTGGCCAATGAGCACTCTACTACTGTACCACCGATGCACGGTGATGTACACGCTATCTATACAAATTCTTAAATCTGAATACTGAACATAAAACTATTCATATTTCTTCCTTTTTCTTTCCTATTACACTTTATATATTCCTTTCTTTCTGTCTTCACTAGCTAAGACATTCAGCTGCAAATGTTCTACGTGAAACTTGGTTATTTTATAAGTATACCAGACTTGTGAAACGTGTTAAACCTGGCAGAGTAAGAAGACATCAAAGAAAATTTCTAACAGCTATAAGTCGGTGAGTTGGTTGGTTGGTTATAAAACACAATGAATGAATATCAAATGACTAAATGGTGTTTGTAACTGTCTTGAACCTTCTTAAGAAAGTATACACTTTACCACTATGCAGCGACTAGAATCAGTAAACTAAGCTTTAAATGTATTGATTCGATTTCATCTTGTTAACAGGCAATGATTTACAAAAATATCTAACAGGTTTTATCTTAATGACGTACACTGATTTGGATATTAATAAATTTAAAGACGGCTGTTCATCTACAATAAATTCCAAACTGTGGCTCAGTAGTTCTCATTTTGATATTTTCTAAGCCCATCTATATGTCTCTACTACACTCAGACCATCCAGCGTTTTCAGTGTCTCAATGAGGAGGATAAGCGGTGAGCGTTACATTGGCTATCATAACAATGAAAGCATCTGAAATAATAAAGAAGATCTGTAGCTCAGGTGAATGATTCGCAACTAATAGTGTTCTCTGAGCTGGTTGGTTTAGTTATATGAACTGTAACAAGCATTACATCGGCCAAAGTAGGAGTCCCCTTCGAATTAGAATCCAAGAACACAAATCAGCCGTGAAAAGACACGATATGTATTCTTTAGTATCAATGCATATAGACAATTATGGACATCAGTTTGATTGGGATAATGTCAAAATCTTAAACAGAGGAAACACCAAAGGTGCCAGGGAATTCCTAGAAGCCTGGTACTCAGACGAAAATACAATTAACATTCACGTTAATATAGACGAAATATACCAACTAATAAAAGCAAATCAGGTGACCAAAAAGTTTAAAATCAGAGTCAATAGAAAATGGTCCATACATATGTTAAGATGCTTACCGGGAGACGCCATTATATCACTCATGAAGAAATTTGAATCATTTCACTTTACGCTAAATATTGCGCTGAAAATGATGTCCAGAAGGACGACGAAAGCTCCGCAACTAAACCGACTAGCTCAGAGAACACCATTAATTGCAAGTGAAAGTATCTAGATTATGCCTTTTGTAAGGACTTAGATTAATTTCAATTGCTCGATTTAGTCAAAAACCAACACTAGTTGGAGAATCATTAAAAACTAGTAAGCATTAAATAGTTGTTTCGTCCTAATTTGTGACTTTTCAACAGCGCACACCCACGACCTCATTTGGGATCGAACCTGGGACATTGGTTTGTAGTAGCGCTGTGTCACAAACTGACAAAATTAGCGTCCACGAGTCACTGGATTATGGTCCAAGCGGTTGGACCGTCAAAGAGCTGGTCTTGTAACCTGAAGATCCTGGTGGGCTGAGAGCTGTCTGCAAGACAAAATTGTAGACAACAATTCACATCAATGTTTACGACCCAAATCGGGGTCACGAGAAAAAACAATAACAAGGCTTAACCTTGAGAAACTCATCAACCAATCACAGCAGACTTAAGGTGTGCGAATACGATTCGCAGATATATGGCTTAACTTTCTAAGAAACGGCCACAAAGAGATAACAGAATAACCTTCAGCAGGGAAACAACCAATCAGAAGACGTTGTTTCTCTGCTAACAAAACTAATAATAATGTACATAAAAATCTATAAATATCTCTTGATTTTCTCAATAAACGATCCGTTGCCTGGCCCTTGTCTTCTGTCGTTACACTGGTTCCAACCTGTGGTGAAAACATGGATGTACACCGTCCAAGAGTCTCAAACTAAAATGAAACAACTGTTCACTGCTGCATGGTTTTCAGTGATTCTCCAACTGATGTTAGTTTGTAACTAAATTTACACTGAAGTAAAATTATCCCCACACATCCCTCATTCATACAGACGTCGAGTAAAACCACCGGTAGATGAAGAAAAATCAAGACTTATCCAATATTTGGATTTCTTAACTCAATGAATAGATCACTGGCCCTAGGGATGATGAGGCCGAAATTCTCGCTTCTATTTCAGTCCACCTTTCTAACTGACAGCAGTCTACAAAACTGAGGCTTCTGTTTGTTTGTGTCTGACTAAGATTCTGGCGGCATTGTTTCTCTTCTTCTGACCATTTCGATTAAGGATAGAATGATCAATTAAAATATGTTGTATGGTTAGTTCATGGCCAGCAGAGAATATTTACTTGTTCGCTAGAAAACTATAAAATGTGTGCAGTTAGGGAAGTAGTTATGGCGCATAGTATATAATCTTACACCAATACATTTCTGTCTAAGTCCCTACTGATTAATCCAAAGATTTGAATTTCTTTCTGATCAGTGTATAGAAAAGGACTGACGGTGACAAATGATGGGTTAAATTTAGGACGCTAGATACTACTGATTACCTGATATAAGTAGCTGGTTCTACCCATATTCATCTAGCAAGTCAATCTACCTAGAAAGCACCCGTGGTTAATGTGACTGGCATCTTACTATTCAAATCAGTTCATCAGTAGTATACAGCATCATAAATGTATGCTTGCCTTGTTGATTTGCACTTATGGTGTAGTTACTTTTGCGTTCGTCTGGTACCCGACGCCAAATTAGTGAGTAGTACGCGTTCAATAAGTCAATCGATAGGAAATGTGTTTAAAGTTAGTGAGGAAAGTTTCATCACGAAATGACTCATCAGTTAGACAACCACTGAAGACCTTGGAGCATTGGATAGCCGCCTAGTCCTAGTTTTGAACTCTTCATCAGTACACACTCACCTCCCACCGTGCATCAATCATAGAACCTTCAGGTTACAAGGTGATCCCATTGTCCATTCAGCCACTACGACGGAGCCCAATAACCCGTGAATTCTAACTTCTGCCACTATGTGATAAATAACGCAACTGCAAGCCAATGTCATCGGCAGGTATTTGTCCACACACCCAACTTCTGAATGCCTACCGAGTACTGTTAATCAAGTTAACTTAATTTTACAATATATTACATTTAGTGTCAGATAACTGGAACGAAAACTTAATCGGATGAAATATACAAATCGCTTCAAATTTCTATGGATTACTTGTAAACATCTAGCACCAAAACAGAATGTCAACTAACTTAGATTGCTGGTGCCTATTCTATGCACCGCCATCTGCTGTCTAGATCAGAATATCTAAAACTAATAACTCTTTAATCCCCCCACCTATCCACCTAGTAAGTGACAACACAGTAGAATGTGTGTGAATACTTCAGGCTTCAGCATCAAAAAAACACTGAAGGTGACACAAAATAACCTCAGTCAACAAACTTATTTAGTTATTGGCTTAATATTTAAAGTTAGAAGTTACCTGTTAACAGAAACACACTTTGCTAAGTGATTCTTAACACTATAAGTGAGACCAGCGTGTGTGTGGAAGAGCTATACGGCCCATACTGCTCACGTTGACCACTAGTGCTCTCTAGTCAAAACTGGCCAATGTAAACGCCGAACGGCTATTTCGCTTCTTCAGGATAGAATTCTTCAAAGTTCTACTTCAGTTGGAAGGATCTAGGTTGTTAACATGCGGTTAAATTAAATACAGATTTGAGATTTCTATAGGCTTTCTTCTGCTAACAATATACAATCAAATAATAACAGTAATATCTCATTAATGTTATAAACTAAACAGTATCACAAGTGTACGCATAAGTATGTAGTATAGTTAGAGGTCACTTGTGCTAAGCAGTCAATAAGGTCAACTTAGAAAGGTTGGAATCTATCCTTCCATTGTATCAGTTTCCTCACTTCGTCCTCCAGTACAAATTGTTCCCAATTACTTGTATCAGACAGCTAAATACAACTTTCATAAAACGTTGATAAGAATGAATAATGGGCATAATTTGTTATTTAAGATTTTATTATTCACTATTAGATATTTGTTGCTTTCTTTTTTCTAAAACGTTCATCTATATGCACATTTTAACAGGTTAAGAAAGGCGAAAGATAATCAAAGGAAATTGAAAGAAGACGCCAGTTCAATGGTAGATTTAGCTAAAGTAAGTTTAACCTCGTAATCCACATCTGACAACTTAATCCTTGAGGGGTTTTGCCTCTAATAAACATCAGTAGAGTTTAAGTACTCACTTGTCTTCATATATATATGATTGTTTTCTTTAGTTCCTAGAGGAACATAGGGCTTCAGCCGCACGTCTCCATTGCATTCGGTTCTCCGCCAAAGTTTTCACCTGGCTCCACGTCTGCCCACATGCTTTCATCTCCTCTTCACATGACCTCCTCCATGTCAACCTTGCACTGACGACTAACTCTCCACTTCCCATTTGGGTTCCACTCGAGCGACGGCCTGTAGTTTGATGTCACTTGATGGTTTGTTTTCTCAGAGTCTGGCCAATCCACCTCCATTTCTTCCTGAATATTTGTTGCACCTTTGTTCCACCTCTTTGGTGATTGACTTTCCATTGTCATCCTTCACTGGCTTAATTTGTGTTGATCTCTTCCCCGATAGGAACCTAGTTGTTTGGTAGAGTGTTGCGAGGTTTCCTTTGCCTGCAGCTTGTTTGTTCTGCTTCACTTGTCATAGCTTCATAATATTGTCTTTTGTCTTCCCTGGCACTTTTCTTTACTCTTTTGTTCAGTGTATTGTATTGCATTCAACCTCTGTTTTTTTGCTTGTCGATGCACTGGATAATCTTTTGTTTCACCATCCATCTTTTTTCTGTTAGTCTCCATGTGTCTGTAGAGAGCAACTGTTTATCCTGTCTCTTCTTTTTGCCTACAACTTCTATGCGGGTTTGACTCCTTGGTCGCTTTCAGGTTGTTCCAGTGCTTTTCAACAGTTGTCTCTTCGCTAGTGTTGATTTGTGTCTCCATCTTTTTCTTTATGATTTCAATTAGGATATCCTTCGAATCCTGATCCTTCAGTTTTTGAGTATCGAACTTGGCTTGTGGTCTATTTACAGCTGCTGTTCCCTTGGTTTGCACGGGTTTGATTACTTATAGATTTTGATCACCATCTCAGTTAGAGAACCGCTGAAGCACCAGTGTGTACTCGACAGCTTGCTAGCCACACAGGTGGTCCGGGGTTCAATCTCCGGCCAACGCACTCCTTTACCTCGCTAAGCCAGGAATAAGACTGGTAAAAAGAGGAGGTTGAGCATGAGGCTAGCAGCTCTATCCCGTAAAAATAAACACTACTGCTACTGAAACTTCAAGCCTCTAGCTTGAAGCCATATGTTCCACTGGGAACGTAAAGGGACAAAAGAGACTGGACAGCTATTCTCCCCCAGTTTAGGATACTCCAGCAGTAAGCACCCACTGGGATTCGAACCCAGAACTCTGTGGTTACAAGGCGAGCTATTAGACCATTCAGCCACTGGGACCCGATCCAATGACCAGCCCATGAATTCCAGCTTCCACCAATTCACGATATATATAGAGCAACCATCAACCAATGTCATAGGCAGGTAACTAGTCTCTTATCTAACTTGGTGGACCCCACTGGTTACGACTTCTCACTAGAACCCCCAGGTAACTTCCTGTATACAGCCAGTCGCTACTGAGCATCTGGATTAATTATGAAGTCTTAGTTTACAGGGACTTGATTGGCTACAGGTTTTGATCATTTACAGAACCACTGAGAAACCGTGTAATCAGAGGTTCCTGGATGTGAACCCTAGTGGATGCGCACTGATGAGGACTCTCAAACTAGGACTCCTGGCTTTCACAATGGTTATCTAACTGATTTCAACTCGTGATCAAAACCTAAAGCGATGATAGTTTAACCACTATGTGATTATTCAACACAGAGTAAAGGACTTCTGCAGTACGTAGACTACTGAATATTATTTTGTTACAGTAGATAAAAACAGTTTTTAACTCATTACACTGTGACTTTAACATTTACGTAAAAGATAAGTTTGTTACTAGGTAGTTAGTAGTAAGCTCTTAACGTAGATATCCTACTTGTTGAAACTGTGTCTGCGACCTTCAACGAACTTTGAAAGTTATTGTTACAACTCTCAAAAGTAAGCCGGTTGGTTATTCAGTCCCCTAAATCGTCTTTATAAAAACAAGTGTTAAACTTTATTTCTTTTAACTTCTTTGTAAGTCACACTGTCATTGATAATAAGGAATTAAACTTCAACTACCTTGTGAACTTCGGTTATGTGATCCAGTGAGCACTTAAGACTATGTAGTTACACTACATTAGTTGCTCACTTTTAACCAAACAACAGTTCTACAGACGTTCAGTCGCTGCCCAAAAGGGGTAACATCTTTGACTACAGCATTAGATGGTGCAGGTGCAGGTATATACACGGCTCCTGTCAACTTCTTTGGACTAGTGGAACATAGGACTTCAAGCTAGAGATTTGAAGTTTCAGTACCAGTGGTGTTTATGTTCACGGGATGGGATTGCTAGCCTCATGCTCAACCTTCCCTCTTTACCGGCCTCATTACTGGCTTAGTGAGGTAAAGGAATTCGTCGACCAGGGTTCGAACCCCGAACCATATGATGCGTGGTTGGCAAGCATTCTACCACTGTGCCACCGACGCCTATCCAGCATAGTACTCTATCCCTATTATAGAACTCACTGCGGAACTATATATATGAATATAATCACTTTTAGCCACTACTTGATAGGTTTTCAGTGACATCCTTCACATACCATGGTATAAGTCTTTCCATTAAAATATTTACACAGTTTAAAATTATAATTCCACTCTATAACATTGTCACTTTGTTCTTTCTTTTCCCAAACAAAAATATCACTTTAGCTACAAACAAGTATTTATGACACTGTGAATTACATCCGAGCTGACCAAACAATTTTTGTACAACGTCTGTTAGCAGTTGAAAAGTGTATGGCATCAATACAGGTAAGATCTTGTAATAACTTCTTCTCTGCATGTGTTTGTTTTTTTGAAGTAAAAAGCTGATTCTTGCAGCCATATTTGTCAATTCTATTTTAAACATAACATAAAAACCCATAGATTACCGGTTTCAGACATGCCACAATATAACGTCCCATCGGAAATTTTATCCTCATTTTCTTACAGCAAGTTAGGCCAGCCCAACTGACACCATCTGAGATAATCAAATTAATAAACAGTATTCTTAAATTGGTTATGAATTATTCGATTCTAAACCAGTGATTGGCTAGGAAATGTGGTCAAAAAGTAGTCTGAATTTTTAAGGTTCCATAGATGTAGATGTTCACTGCTGAAGAGTTGAAAACTATGACGAAACAGATTTCTATTGCACGTTAGCTTTCAGCGATTCTCTAACTAGTGTCTTGAAAGAGTAATGAACTGTCAAAGCTGAAGACGTTGTCCAGAAGGATAATGAAAGCTTATAGATCAAAGTATTCACCTCAAAGAGCATAGCTGCACCAAAAACATCCACCTGAGGTATAAATCTTCTCCATTATTGTCAAAAGATTAAAGTGTCATATATAACTTAGTCACGTTAAATAACATACTAAATATCTTTGATTGAACACTAGTCAGTAACTAGTGTAATGTGTTTAGTCCTATCTTCGCTGCAGACTGAATTCTATCAGTCAAGCTTGCAATGTGGCCACCATGCTAGGCGGCTCGCCATGAGTTCCTTCAAGGTTGCAGATACGCCTTGCTGATGAGTGCCAACTAGCACGAAACCTAGGTCCAAGGCTTCCTGCCGATTGCCTCCAACCATCTAATACCAACAATTCACAGTGCACCGTAACGGCGAGCCACCTAGCATGGTGGCCACATTGCAAACATGACTGATAGGATTTAGTCTGCAGCGAAGATAGGATTAGACACATTACACTAGTTACTGACTAGTTTCCAATCAAAAATATCCAATATAGTCCTACAGGAGGTCAATCGCGAGCCTGAATAGCTCAGTGGTAACGTCTCTGACTGACCGCTGCACTGGGTGACGCGGGTTCGAATCTCAGAAGGAACATCAGTTCCTTCAAGGTTGTAGATACGCCTTGCTGATGAGTGCCAACTAGCACGAAACCTAGGTCCAAGGCTTCCTGCTTATTACCTCCAACCATCTAATAACAACAATACTAAATATCTACCAATGATTAGATAATCAAGTACATAGATCAAAACAGTAAATAAGAATCAATCAACCTATAAAAGGCGGAATGTTAACCAATTATGAGGCGTGTATTCTAGCCCAGTAGGAGAAATAATCGTCAAGTTTTCATTAATTAATTTAAAGTTCATTATTGCCTATTCACCTGTTGGTGGAGCTGTACAGCTTCTCTTTTTTTCGTACTTCTACATTTTCTCGGTTATAAAGCTTAAACTGAAATCTACTATTGGTAGTATGGGGCAACCTGGCTTATGTATTTTAATAGTACCATACATTCTACTAGCATTGTTAGTTTTAGGCATTAAATTAAACCATTTGGACTCACCCAGTGACGGCTTCATTCTGCGTATTAATTCCTCTGTAGATTTCTTAACCTTATTCATTATTGTATCTACAGGCTTCCTAATTTCCTCATATGGATCCGTCTCAAATATAAAGGTTAAACTAGGGATATTATATGCTTTATGACAAATAATGTGCCACTAAATTTATACTAAAACATTAGATTTTTTACGAGAATTTCCGTCTCACGCTCAACTTTCCATCTTTTCGGGCTCACTATGGACTAAGCGCTACTTAGGGTTGCATCGACTGGAATCGAACTCGGACCTCCCTCGTGGCTGGTGACCAATCCACCAATGAATTCTCTCACTAGTATGTAAAGTCCAAAATTACAAACTGGGAGGGAGGGCGAAACAAAATTCTGTAACGTCATTCACTTCCTATCCATTATCTGACTACCAAAGTGTTTGAATTAATCCAAACCAAGTTATCGGCTTTCGCTTCTAAGGTGTTCTAAACTAAGAAGGTGTAACTGGCCACTGTTTTCAACTATCAGTGTCTTTCAACCCATTGTCTTTTTGTAAACAAACTGATTTATGGATTTTGTTTAACTAAATAATATTCAAATAACTGCCAGTTGTCACATCTTCCTGTTTTCTATGCATACTATAATTCTAGGCTTATGTGAATCAAATGTCGGATACATTTACGGGTATCATTGATACACTCGGTACATGTAGTAGTACTACTGTACCATTAGAAGATGAAACTCTGGCTAAAATCAGTTTATCGCCACAATCAACAAAGCCGACACAACAATCATCAAGTTCTAATGAATCTTTGAAAGAATAAAGTGGGATAAAAAAATTGTATTTTGTGTGTCATTTGTTGCATTTACTTATGAAATACATCGTTATATTTAGCCTTTGATAATTTAGATACTCAACAGTGTTGATTTACTATGTAAAGAAGTGAAATTCACCTTGAAATGACGGACTTGTATATATATAATAGTACATGAAAGTGTTTGAAGAGAGAATAATGAAATATAAACCTATGCATTATACTACCTGTTAAATACCTTTTGCACATACAACCATTTCACCTCTTCCGTCTCTTTTATTTTCTTCTCAATTTATTTTTCTAAAAAAAATAAAATGTATCCTTTCGTTCAAATGCCTTGCCTTGATTGAATTGAATTTGATCCATAGAAATCTATTTAAAGAGAATAGCAGTAATTTCTTTGCTAGCATTTTTCTACTAATACCTTCTCCTGATCTATATTTTTTGAATCTTATGAAAAACAGTATCACCTGTAGGTGTGAGAATTTCCAACAGTGAAATATTTCGTATACACTACACTATTACCCAAACATTTAAATTCTTACAAATACGATTTGTTTTCATTAAGTAATTTCAATCGTTATTATTATTACTATTATCCTTGACGTCGTTCAATGTTTAGTTTGTTTAAAACATCTACTGATGCATTTACTTTCCATGACAGACAATTTGTACCTCTTACCATTTTTTTTCTAAACCCTTAATTTTATTTAAACTTTTATCAGAAAAAAATCAGAATAGCCAGATATTGTGTAGAGTTATAAATTTTTGAAAAAAGAAACATTATTCATGCTTCCCATGTATATATATATTAAGTGAAAAAGAAATTATGAGGATTAAAACTGCATTTTTTGAAGGATATTAAAGAAGGCCTTTTATTTTTACGAGTTGATCATAGATTGATATCAGTTAGAGAACCATTGAAAACTAGGGAATACTGGACAGCTGTTTCGTCAGCCTAGTTTGGGAATCATTGGCAGTACGCACCCACTGGGGCTCGAACCACAGACCTTCCGGTTACAAGGCAGGCTTGTATGCCATTCAGCCACTGGGACCCCTTCAATGGCCTTTTATGTGTATATACATATTTGTTGATGGCAATCAATTTGAATAAGCACTTCGTAGTAACTTGCACTGTATTTGATTACTGTACAGAGTAAGTTGTTAAACGTCTTTAGAAGCTGAGGGTGTTGACGATCATGGATAGTATTGTAACGACAGAAGACAAGGGCCAGGCAACAAATCGTTTATTGAGAAAATCAACAGATATTTATAGATTTTTATGTACATTATTATTCGTTATTGTTAGCAGAGAAATAGCGTCTTCTGATTGGTTGTTTTCTCTCTGAAAGTTAATCTGTCATCTTTTTGTGGCTGTTTCTTTGATGGTCAGACCATATATCTGCGATTCGTATCCACCCACACAAAGTCTTTGTTCTTGTTTTTCTCATGACCAATATTTGGGACGTGAACATTGACGTAAATTGCTGTCTACCAATTTTGGCTAGCAGACAGCTCTCACCACAGTATGACGTATACTAATGCAACACCTTATACCCACAACTCCTATTACTTTTGTTCTACGTAGACCAAAGATAAAACAAAATATCAGATTGATCGCCCAAACTACGAAGTATATTTCGGGGTCAAACTCATAGTGCTAGGATAACTGATTAACTAGCTAGGGATCGTGCAAAAAAAACCCAACTTAACACGCAGTGTGACGTGGATACTTGGTCGCGAGCCTTCAACTAAACAAGTAGACTTAAAGCATCCAATGTTCATTGATGAATACTGTGGCTAATAATTTTGGACAATTATCTACTGCCACACTTCATTCCAATGATGACGACAGTAACATAATTTATTTCGACATTTTTATCAGGGTGAGTATTTCTTGGAAGTCCTGAACTGGAGATACAGAATTTTAAATAATACAAATCCCAAAGTATAGTGAAGACGTTTCTATCAGATGGTACTTATTTTAGGAATCCCAAGTCTTTCATCGGTATTTCTAAAGTAGGCACCAATTCTCAAAGAACTGTAGGAGATGTCGTTTAAATTCTAAGATGCATATTCATCTCTCTCCTATCTGGAATATATCCACTTACGGTTGCTTTCCTCGAATAAAGCAGCCGACAGAACGAATGTAATCCACTTAGACGTCAACTTGTTACCCGATTTGGACATCCGTATGATAGGTGTACCTGTATTAATGCACTGCTGTTGTTCCTGCTGCTGCATACGCAGTAATACTTTTGCCAAAGTAACATCTGTGGGGACTTTTGGGTTGGTTACTTGATAATTCTAAAGACCCGTATACTGATATCCATAAGTAAGGACGTAAAACACTTTATATAAGCGTTCCGCTATTCCACTACTTCTCATTTGTTCCATTCGTATGTCTACAGTTTACTTCCGGATATGAGTAGCGAAGAAAAGTGTCAGTTGGCTTTTCTACTGAAAATCCCTGTTTTAACATATGGCATCGCGCCTAGAACAACAGCATAGGACTTTAAGAAAAGTCTAGGTATCAGATTACCAGCTGAGTTAGGAAACTTAAACTATTTGTCCCAAAAATATACCCCTCCACCGTTACACCATGCCTCGCCTCATTGAGACATGCAGAGGAAGCAAACGAATGCATTACACCATGTGAAAGTAACAATGGGATATACCGTAAGGAGTTAGACCTATAAAGTAGGCTTAAACAGTTCAGAAAGAATAATAGAAGGGAATTACCAATATTTGTGGGCTTACAGTCTTCAAATGCAACTCCGGCAAAATCTAGGCACACCGCCCTGCGATAAAACCATCCCACTAGCGTTCCATTTATTTGTTACACAACCCTTGGGGTGGTTTCAGTGAGTCCGTTCAACAAGCTGAATGAACGTTACGGTTACAAATAGGCTACCAGAAGAGAGACCATTCCGCTGACATGCGTCTCGGCAGCGGATAGATTATGTCGAAGGTAGATGGAGGTCGTAAAAATACTGACGATATACCACGTCATGGGAAACCCCCACCACAAAAAGCCACCTTAAACTCAACCAGAGAGACAGAGCAAGTTCTGTTGCCGTCACAAATATCGGTCACTAACTGATCGTCCGAAATAAGACAACGGGAGACACCAAAGAAAAGACGAAGCCAAACAAACAATTATTATCACACGCGGTATCCTCAAACTAACAGTCACGACATAGGTGAAAAGTATCCAAATGACCTGGAACGTGATACTAGCTATACAAACATCTGAATCTGAATGGGTATCAGAAACTGACATCTGCTATCTACCTTGTCCACTACATCTTCACAGACTCAGCACACTGTGATTTACAGCAGTTAACTTAGGATATTCAGACAACTTGAGTTTTGTTAAGGACACTATGGACAGTAACATCCGATTTTGGAAGAGCAAGCTTAGAGCTCTGCGGCAAAACGAAAGATGTCATAACACAAACCGAAACCCTTATGGTTGTCGAGAAACGAGAAGTCAATCCTCAAGACAGCAGAATACTTTGAAAAACGGAGCACGGGTGGTCGCAGTGGGACTTGTCAAACTGCAAAATACTGTCTCCAGCGAGACATGATACCATCTACAATCAGTGATAAAAACAACTGTGCGGTAAAACAGACCACCAAGTGACTTTGTAGAAGTTTCATAGGCCCCAGAAGCAGGAAAAGAGAGCTGGGATCCGTATGCTTTCACCTCACACGGTCACTTACCACCTTGAGAAAGAGGTATTCACCACGACGCGTCAATGTGAAGTGATAGTGGATGTGGTGAGAGTGTAAAGAAAGTACCAAGGAGGGACAGTGAATAGGTCTCAGTGTGCATAGGCACCGAATCCTGAGCATGGTAAGTTGCTGACTCAACAATGACACAACTCTCTGGGTAACGCCAGTGTTGTATGCCTGTGAACAATACCAGATTTCTTACTAGAGGGGTTTATCGATTCCTGACAAGCTGGGTGAAGCACAAGCAACAAATTACTGGAGCGACCCTTGTAGTCACGACCATAGAATTTCACCAGGTCATTACTGCTGGTGGCCTCAACACACCGCTTCTCAGAAGCATACCTATGAGGGAGATTTTGACAAGGATGGAATCACTGCCTCTCACGTGATTATAGCCTTTACCAGCTCCTCTTAACTGCTGTCTCAACTACTGAACTGAACAAGACTATCAAGAATGACGTACGCTGCTGGCAAAGGTCGAACCATTTAGGCTATTTTTATTGTTATTTTCATGAGCAGTCAACTGAGCAAAGTGGATGTGCACTTAAAAAACCAATAGGCATCAGTGACCACAAAGAAACAGCATTTCACATTGTCACTGAACAACTAATAAACAAGCATACCTCTTCCTAAGAAGTTTTCCACAGTAGAGACAAGTTTAAGTGGATAGGAGAAGCTCCAGGATGGACGTCTTGGCCAAAACAGTAGCATTCACTAACAGCAGAAGAGCACTGAAAGTCAGTGGGGAAAGTTACTAAAATTGCCTTCGGCGATTTCGTCCATTAGCAACGGTAACTTTTAATAAACGACCCTTCGGTGATAATAATAATTTATATTTCGTATAAACGGGTAAGTTTGCATGAAATGCACGCCATTTTTACAGGCACAATCAGTTATGTCATAAATTACAATCGTGAAATATCATCAATTAGCACTTCCTGAAAAGTTTCAATTGTTGGATTATTGCACAAACAGTCAGAACAGGCTCGTGTAAATGCTAAATCGTAAACCCTTCACTAAGGCCAACTCCAAGGTTGAGCGCCAACCCAAAGTTCGTTTCATTTCCGACTGATGGTTAAAGTCAGCCAATGAACAACCTATATTTGCGTAAGTGCTATTCTCCCACGTGAATAAAAGCTATTTCAGGAAGAGAAGAATGTCGTGAGAAGTTACAAAATGGTATGAAATGCAATTATGGATAACACACCCTTGAAAGTACATTTACAAGATATATACGAGAAGGAGCTACAGAGTCCTTGAAATGATAGTAT